AATAGTATGATCTTTTATTAAGTTTATTATATCTATATATATTATATAAAATAATATTATTAGCCAATTTTATATACCAAACATTTATATTTGTATCGGTATACAAAGAATAAATGTGCAATCCGAATTCACTCTATATCGAACAAAACCTGTTCAGCCAACTTGTTCAGTTTAGAGAGAGTTGACTGTATATTTAAATTTTATTCAAATTTATTCAGTAGTTCTCGAGTAATCGCTTCTATATGATAGTCAATTTTTTTAAAAAATCAATTATCGTATAGATGCAATTACTTGAGAACTACTAGACCAATCTGAATAAAATTTAATTATATTATAGAGGAATAGCTTTATTATCTTTAGTGAAAATTTTAACTAATTCTAATCACTAGTTGTTAAGCAAATCGTTGTCAAAGTTGATTACAATTATAATTTTGCATGTACCAAAGATCACAAATTTCTTAACTATTGGACAAATTTTTTAACTACTATATAATAGAATTTGATAGGGAATTTTTTAAATAAAATTATAGAACTGACATAATTTATTGCAAAAAATTTCATTGAACTTCATTGATTAGATGTCGAGAAATTATATTCAAAGTTAGGAGAAATTTTTGCAATCTTGAAGAAAATAACCATGGCAAAATTTTTCTAAACTTAGAATAAAAATTTCTCAACACCTACCTGATAGAATTTGATAAAAATTTTAAATAAATTCTATAAAATAGTAAAATTTATATTAAAAAAAATTATCGAATTTTGATGTGTAATTGTCATGAAACATTTATTCAAAGTTTAGAAAAAGACTGTCTTTAATATCTGTAACAAAAATTTCATTAAGCTTTGAACAAAAATTTCTTGATAACTATTCATCAAAATTTGATGACAAAAAATTTAAGCAAATTTTTATATTTTATAGAATTCATTTAAAAAAATTTTCATCAAATTCTATTAGGTAGGAGTTGAGAAATTTTCATTCAAAGTTTAAAAAAATTTTTGCCATGGCTATTTTCTTAAAGGCGACAGAAATTTTCCTTAACTTTGAATGAAAATTTCTCAACAATTACTCAATGGAATCTGATGAAAATTTTTTTAAATAATTTTTGTTGATGCTAATAATTTTATTTGAAAATTATCCATCGAATTTCATTGGACAATTGTTGAGGAAATTTGTCCAAAAAAAAAAGTTAAGAAAATTTGTGATCTTCAATACATGTAAAATCACGTGATCTGGTACGTGCCCGTAAACTACCCCAGTATCGCCGTCAAATTTTCACTTTCACGTGATTATCATCCAATAGCGAGTCTCGTTTTAATGTAACGTTACACGATCAGGAAGATCAAAACAAAACGTTCGCTTTTCAAAAATCGCCTATTTCTCAAAAACTTGCTTAAGAAATCACCTTTTACGCTCTAACAAAAAAAATTCCTCGAGTGATTTTACTATTAAATCTCTAAAACCTAGCCCTATTATAAACGCTAACCCTAACTTAAACGAATTTAAAGATTTTAAACGCTGTCACGTGAAAGTGAAAATTTAACGGCGATACTGGGGAAGATCGTGCCCGTAGATGGTCGCAATTTTAGTGTTTTAACCATCATAATGACCAAATTTTCTTCATCTACAACATTTATTATAAATAGAAGAAGGGTTAACAGAGCAAAAATCCAACTAATCGATTAAATAATCAATCGGTTATGACCGGTCATTTAACCGTATATGACCGACCGCGGTCAACCGGTTGACCGCCAATAACCGGTAATGACCGACCGTGACCGACCGTGACCGACCGAACCCATCCCTAATTGCAATATATTCAATTACCAGGACCACTCAATTCATGATCGTAATAGCGTCTTGTTTTTCTTGTTCTGTCATATCTTCAAAAATATCTTCATATTCTTGGCGCGAAACATATTTATTTACATCTGTCTCTTCATATTCATTCTTTATTTCAATAGAAGTATGTAACTTTATTGGCATTTCACTTTCTATACTTTTATATAATTGATGAGAACTAGTATATCCAATAAATTGACTTGTGTAAATGTCTTTTAGGTGTATAAAATTATTGGATTTAGGACTTATTATTTTCTTATAAAAA